AAAAGGCTTCATTTTCCCTGATAATAAAATTCAAAGCATGAAGCCATGGCAGCTATCTTGCAACCAACCACTAGTAAAAGGACTAGAGAATGGAAGAGATGTTGGCCCTGGCATTACTGAGCCTCTGAGCAACAGCAGGAGTAGTCTACCTCCATAGCTCTTGTAATATGGAAGAAATGAAAGCCAAACAAATAGTTTCAGACTCTGAAAGTCAGGCTTTCTATTCTAAAAGGGTTACCTACCATTTATCGAATGCTTTCTATATGCTAATAATAAACACTTAAGGTGTATTATCTCATTTACTGATTGTAACAGGAATTATTATCTACCATTTTACAGTTGTGGAAACAGACTTAAGTACTTTGCTCAAGGCCATATAACTGGATTTGAATGCAGGTGTGGCTCCAAAGCTAGAATTACAAACTAGTATCCTGTATTTGCATCTACTTTCTCTCTATGTGCAGCCCTGGTGGCACAGTGCTTAAGAGCTCTGCTGCTAGCCAAAAGGTCAGCAGTTCAAATCCAGCAGCCACTTCTTGGAAACCCTGTAGAGCAGTTCTACTCTGTCCTATAGGGTTGGTATGAGTCAGAATCAACTCAACGACAAGTTTTGGTTTGGTTTGATCTCTTTATGTGGACTATGTATACTAATCCAAGAGTGTATACAAGCTGTATTTTGAAAACACAGTTACTATAACCTTGGGAGGTATTATTATCTTCTTTACTCAAAAGTACCCAATTAGTGTTCCCTTTAAAATGATGAGTCGTTGCTATCTGCCATGAGATATGGAAGGGATACGCATAGGCCCATCCAGAAATAGGGTCTAGATCCAGTCTAGGTTTCCAGCAGCCTTCTTCTCCGTACACCAATGTAAGAAAGGAGAACCAGGCTGGGCCCAGGATAGCAGCTGCTTTTCTCAAAAGACCTACATCTAGAGATTTAAGTTACCTATTTAAGGCCATCCCAGGTCCCAGTATGGAGCCCTGGTGATGCAATGGGTAAAGCGCTTTGCTGCTAACTGAAAGGTCCGTGGTTGGAAACCACCAGCGGCTCCAAGGGAGAAAGATATGGCAGTCTGCTTCCATAAAGATTTACAGCCTTGGAAACCCTATGGGGCAGTGCTACTGTGTCTTTCAGGGTCATTATGAGTTGGAATTGACTCAACGGCAGTGAGTTTGGTTTTGGTTTTAGGTCTCAATAGAAGGGCTTATTGGCATATTCAAGATTTCAAGCCTGAGGAATATAACTAAACCATAAAAAAAAAAAACCCACTGCCATTGAGTCCATTTTGACTCATAGCAACCCTGTAGGACAGAGTAGATGCCTGATAGGGTTTCCAAGGCTGTAAATCTTTATGAAAGCAGACTGGCACATCTTTCTCCCGTGGAGCAGCTGGTGGGTTTGTACCACAGACCTTTCAGTTAGCAGCTGAGCGCTTTAACCACTGTGCAAACAGGACTCCCTAAACTCCCACTGCTGTCAAGTCAATTCTGACTCATAGCGACCCCATGGGGTTTCTGAGACTGTAAATCTCTACAGAAGCAGACTACCACATCTTTCTTCAGCGGAGCCACTGGTGGTTTGGAACCACAGCCCTTTTGGTTATCAGTCGATCGCTGTAACCACTGGGTCACCAGGGTTCATGGAGCATAACTAGTGGCAGTAAATTAGAATAAGTGTGAAAAGAATAGAAGCACCCAAGTTAACCCATTTCCCATTATTTGAGCCCCAGTGTGACTGGATAATGTGCTATACACTGCCCTTCAGAAAATTACAAACTAAATAGGGAGATAAATTCATGCATAAGTAGTTTTATGCTACAATGTGATAAATACTATATTAATGCTCCGAACATCTTAACTTTTGAATTGCAGAGAGGAAACACTAAGTTTTGGGGCTCATGGAAGGCAGAGAGGAAAGGATCTAAAGTTGGGATCTAATTTCTCTCTGTGAAAGTAAGGAAATTAATCCATAAGGATTATGGCTTAAAAGGGGGACCAGGTTTGTGATGTATTTTCTTAGTACAAGGGAATTAGAGCCTTCTCTGCCCTTTCTTCTGCTCCATGTCAAAAGTAGGTTCTATTTGAGTGGAAAAAAGGACTGTAGCCTACCTGTTGTAGCTACAAACACATAGACCAGGATTTGCCAAGAAAGACTGCATAATGAAAACCCAACAATTGTCATAGGCCCCTCCTTACCCTCTTTGAGATTCTAATACCCAAATTTACTGACCACAAACCCCAATCATTAAGAACTCTATGGCCCTGTAGGGAAAACAGGTTAAACCATTGCCACACAATCCTCAGAATTTCTCTTTTCCATTGGCACTATCAGTAAATTTTGTTGTCTCTTTCTTTACTAAAGTAGAAATAAAATAGTTTAAAATCATGGTACTGTTACCAGAGGAATATTAGAACTACAGCAAAGCATGAGATCAGTAGATGGAATTAGCACTCCAATTCTTAAGCAGAAACCAATGGCCGTTTGAGTGCCAGGCATTTTTGTAATGGAGAACACTGTAGGCTTAATCATATGAAAGCTAGTAGAAGCAACAGGGGGTAGTAGTATGAACACTTACATACCAGTAAAAAAATGCCTACCACATTACTACCTTTACAGATTCATTCATTCAACAAATATACCAACAAATGATTACTGAGTGTCTTCTATGTGCCAAGCACCCATCTAAGGTGATTGGGTGCCCAATACTGAACAAGGTAGAAAAGGCTCCCACTCCCAAGCAGCTTACTCTATTTAAATTAGGGCACACGGTGGGCTATGTGCTGGGTAAGGAGCTGAAAACTGTAAAGACAGGGATGCTGTGGAAATCCCAGGCTGTGTAATCAGTGTGTATGTAGATCTGCACTGCCTTTCATGATGAGCTCTTTGCTATTAAAATCATTCTGGTTGTGTACCTGACACAAAGACTTTCAGCTATGGAAGAAGAATGACTATTGTTAGTTTAGTTAATAATAATAGCAAACACTTAAGAAGTATCATGTGGCAGATACTTTACATGTGCTAAGTCATTTGAATCCTTACAACCACTCTGTAAAGTATGTATTTCATAATCTCCACTTATCAGAGGAGGAAACCAAGGCATGAAAAGGTTAAGTAATTTGCTCAAAGTTAAACAGCCAGTCAGTGATTCAGTCTCAGTGCTGTCTAGTGCTATGCACTGCCTTCAATAAAGTATCTGCTATATGTCTTTTCTTTTTATCCATTGTCTGTTTCACTCGTCACAATCCTATGAGGTGAGTGATATCCCAATTTGGTAGATGAAGTTACTAAGGCTCAGAGAGATAAAATGGAAGTTTCAGGATTCAAACTCAAGAGAAATCTGGCTACAAATCCAATACTCTTCAATAGCATTCCATGCTGTCTCTTTAAAGAGCCTGCCCTAGTGAGTTTTTTTAGGTGCTAAGGCACAGACTCACAATTCCCTCCCTCAATCAATCTATCTGTTTTATATACCAGGCTTCCCTGAAGATTTTATTTGAAGAAAGAGTTTGGCTGATAAAATAAATGTTTGAAAAAATCAGTATTCTTAGCTAAGATGAAAAGCTGATCTTCCAAAGTTTCAGAAAAAGAACGTTTCAGAGAGGAGCCAAGAAGACAGGTAGAAAATATGCCAGTGGGTTAGATATATGGAAGGCCTTCTGCGTACAGACCATGGCATTGCCAGGATTTATTGAGGAAGTAAAAGATGTGTTGTTTCCTCCAAAGCTTGTAATTTAGATGAATACCTTGGACAATATATATAGAAAGAGATGAGATGTATAGAGGAATTAGAAACTAATTAGAAGAGGCAAAGATAAAATTAATAATGCAAATGAAATGGGCTGTGCAGATAAACTCCAAGTATCCTGTGAGTCCTTTCCAAACCTCAGCAGACACAGTATCTATACTGTCACCATAATTCATGCTTTGAAGAATTAGGAATGATAGAAAAGTACAACTTTTCACACAAGCTAAGAGAAGTTATAGGTGAATACTTCAAGCAATATTAGATTCTGTCTTCCATTTGAAAGATATTTCTCTTCCATTTATCTAGCTTTTAAAGAAAAAAATATCAAAACCCCATACAGTTAGAAGAGCTGATGTCCTGAATAGCTCTTAGGATATGTACTCCTTAAACAGAGGAAATTCTTAGTGCAATTCAGCTTTTGTAATACCTCAGAATTTGGTCCCAAGCTACTGATAAGACGATCCCACTGCCTTTGAAGTGCTTTAGGATTATTTATCACATAAGGAATTCCTCACATGGTAGGAGGAGTGGGGATCATTGGCTGATCGCTGCAGATCATTTTCAGATGACATTTGCATAATTACTACTACCTCTGATAGTTAACTTGGGGGTGGGACGAGACTATGGGCAACAGGGAAGTGGGAGACTGACTGGTTGTTTAGGAAGATTTTATGCAAAGCCACCTTCTTGTTTTGCCCTTCTCAGCTACTTAGCCATTTCTCAAAGAGTTCAACTTGTCTATTAAAAGCTATGCTATAAATTCTGTATTCTCTTGCCTCTATGGGATGGGCAGTCAAGGGTTCTTCTGCAGGTGCAGTCAGATGTATAAGCCTCTCGGCTTTTGGCATCCTGCTCTCAGCATAATCTTCTCTTCTAACACTAATCTTCTTCTTTACTCCTTTCTGCTGAACCAGAATTTAGTTCACAATGTATCTTTGTGCCCTCAGGACCTCAAGGTCCTAGCCTTGGCTCAGCAACTTAACACTGGTCTCCAATCATCCTGACCTCACCCCTTTCACTATAACTGTTGGCTTTATCCAAGACCTAAACTTCCATGTTTCTAGCTTTGGCCCACATCCTATGAACCCTACAAAAAAATCATTCAATGAGGAGGTCCAAAGCCCTTTTCCTAGCACCCTGCCTCTCATAGTTTCGTTAACTCAGCTCTCTCCCATTTAAAAGACCTAGAAAATGAATGCCACTGCTTCAGCTATAGGGGCCAGTGCCCTATAATGCCCACACAGTGTTTACCTTAGGGTTTCCCCAGAGGAGCCTCTCCTCTTCCAGAGGTTGACTAGGCTGCTGGATCTGCTGGCCGCTGAGGATGACTTGCCATCCCCCACATGCATGCGCACCACGGTGGATGTGGTGAAGGCGCTGCGCACGTTTCTCTCTGGTTTGGCCAGGATGATGTATACCTTCGGCACAAACATGCAGCCTAGAGCCACTGTAGCGCTTAGACTGACTGAAAAACACATGGTGATGATTTTGTAGTTGCTGCCAAAGTAGATTGGTACAAAGGCTAGCCATATAATGCAGGTGGTGTACATTGTGAAGGCAATATACTTGGCCTCGTTGAAGTTAGCTGGAACATTTCTGGTCTTGAACGCATAGAAGGTGCAGCTTAAAATCAACAATCCATTGTATCCAAGAGGAGTGACAACTCCTAGGTTGGTGGTGTTACAAATCAGGTAGACTTCCCGGATGCTTGGGTAGTCATGCATTATGTCAGGAGGCTCCATTATAAAGAGAGCGACAATGATGCCCAGCTGGATGCATATGAGAATGAAAGCAATCACCAGTTGGGCGCAGGCACTCATGAATCTGGGCTTTTTGGTACAGATCTTCTTCTTGCTGCCAGCCAGGATCCTTGCAATACGGTTGGTCTTGGTGACAAGGGCTGAGTAGCTCATGGCTGGGGAGAGACCAATGCCAATTCTCTGAAGGTAGCAATAAATCTGTTTGGGCTTTGCGATGAGGCAGAAGGTACATAGGTAGCCCAGGCAGATGCCTGCAAGGATAATGTAGCAGAGTTCTCTGCTGGAGGACTTGACTACTGGTGTATCACGGTAAATGATGAAGACTACAGTAACAAACAGGGTAGCCAGCAGGCCGAGGCAGGCAAACACCACAGCTGCAATGGGCTCAGGGTCACCCCAGCGAAGATACTGTACGGGGATCAAATCACAACCTGCAGAGACACAGACACATATTGAAAAAGAAGGAAGAGAGGTTTACTTGGGTCATGTATCCCTAAGATACAAGCAACCATTGCCGTTTGTCCCTCATCTACCTTTCTGATCTCAATATCCCATATTACATATCCATTCATAATATTTATATTTATTGTATTTATCGAATACATGTGATAGGTGTCCTAGGTTCTGAAAACAAAATGAAGAAGAAGCTGTTCTCTGTCTTCATAAAAAAAAAAAATGGAGGGACGGGGCTTAAAACAATTGCTTAAAACAGTGGTAAGGGCCATGAAGAGGTATAGCATGGGCCTTGACTCAGTTTTGGGGAGCAGGAAAGATGCCCTTGAAAGGAATGAACAAAATGAAGGTGCTGATTTGGTTGAGTTTGGGGGTTCAGTGGGTTTGGGAAAGAGAGGGTAAGTGTAGGGAAGGGTCTACGGGCATTGGGAGCATGAAAAGAGGCCAGTGTACAATAATAGGAGGAGTGGCCTAAGATGGGGCTGGAGGGTAGGCAGGAGGGGATCTTGCAGGGCAAGGAGTCCTAGATAAGAGGTTTAGTGTTTAGTCTTAGATCAATAGGAAGTTATTGGAGGGATCTATGTAGACTAGGGAAAGGACATGATCAGTTTTGTAGGTATTTTTAGAAACATCCCTTTGGTTGCTTTGTGGTTATTGGATGAAATAAAGGCAAAACGGGATGCAGAGTAAACAGTGCGGAGGTCAGTCACAGAGGTGAGGCTGAGACGAGGAGGGGTTGCACTAGAATGAAAACAATGAAATGATTTGAGAATTATTTAGCACAGATAATAGGGTCTTTGAGTTGATGTGCGGTGTGTGAGAGGTAAAGGTCTCACAGATGACCAATACTGCTGTCCTGGATCTACTCTAAAGAAAAATTGGAATTTTCAGAGAATCTTATGATTCAGGCATTGCAGAAGATGCTGTTGGGGGAAAAAAAAAAAAAGCAGCAGAGTAGTTTTTGTAGGAAAAGTGACCCCAAAGGCAAACACTTGGTCTGCCTGGGAAGTGCTGCCCCTCCCAAAATTATTCTGTACTTTCTGGCTTTCGGTTTTTGTATCACTTGATTATGTAGCAGGAAAAAATAGAGCTTCATTTCGGTTCCCTGACTTCTTTCTAAATTTCTTTAGCACAGTGATTCTCAAACTTGGCTGCACACTGGAATGACCTTGAGATATTTTTTTAAAAATACTGTGGCCTGGGTCGCACTGACAGAGTATCTGATTTAATTGGCATGGAGTGTAGCCTGGACATTTTTGGAAGGCATTTTAAGTGATTCTAATGTGCAGCCAAAATTGAGTCACTGCTCTGTGAGAGTCATTCCGGCACATTAGATTATTTCTTTAAAATAGAATTAAGATATCTTCACTGAGTTAGTAGCAAAGGAGGTAGGCAATCGAGAGCATTGGACATTTAAGAGAAGTGGCAGAGATTACTAATTGCCTACAAATACCCAGTCTCCCCTTCGTCCTCAGCAACAGATCTTCAATTTAATTTGGAGCAGTAAAGGATACAGCTAAAATACTGTATCTCCAGATACTTTTGCAGCCAGATGTGCCATATGACTAGATTTTAGCCAATGAGATGTAAGCAGAAGACACTTTAAAAGACAGATTCAGCTTGCCTTTTTTCTTTCTTTCTTTGCCCTTCCCTGCTTTCCCCTTCTGCTGCCTAGAATATAATCATGGTGGCTAGAGCTCCAGCAGTTATCTTGGGCTCTAAGGTTGCTTGAGGAACGGAAGACATGTTCTGGGGTTTAGAAGAGAATAATGGAAGAAGTTAGGGTCCTTAATAACCGTGGAACCATTGATTAGCTGTGAACGATATATATCCACATCTCCATTGCTTCAATTACTATTATTATTATTTTCTGTTCTATGCAGTCAAACCAAATCCTACCTGATATAGGGGTAAGATTTTCCTATTAATTTTCCATATCTCATGATCAAAGGTATTGTAGTCATGGCATTGAATATCAAGGGGCTATTGGGAGGCAGGAGAGGCAGCAAAAAGTAATGGTAGCAAAGAAGGATGTAGTTATTTCATAATAGCTAAGGACAGCCCTTTATAGGAAGGGGAGGAAGCATTCATTTTTCTTCTCTTCTTTCTGCCATGCCATACCATGCTTCCCCTTCTTTCTGTTATCTTTTTTTTTTTAGATTTCTGATAGTACCATTACTTTCATATAGCTAAATTCATTATGGTTTTAATAGGATTTGTCAGTTAGCCTGGGATCCTCAGCATACTTTATAAATTGTTTCTATGGAAAAAAAAATGTATTCTTATTTTAAAAACCTGTACATTTAATATTGAAACAAAGTGCTTTTTAAAAAAGTTCAGAATGCCTGGACTGAAGAGAAAACAGTTATTTTAAACGATTTCTTTAATTATGAACAAATATATATCCTATTGCTAATGAATACAGCTATATTTATATTTTCAGCCATCAGTTCGCATATATTGGAAGTTAGCTTCTGATACTTTAGGGCTTAGGTTCATATTTACAAGTTTACTCCTTTCTGAGACAGCCATACAATGGGAACATGTTATGTGGTATATGAAGCAAGGATCTTTTCATTAGCTAAGAGATTCAACTGAAAAGTGTGTTTATGTGCACGCGTGTGTGGGTGCCTTTTTTTTTTTTTTTTTACCTTAATGGCTTTTATTTTATCTGCTTTTTTTCCTCTTATACTGCTAAATCTTAATTGCTCTTATCTAAACGTAATTAGCACTCTGATTTCTAAATTTTTTATATAAATAGCACTCACTAGTATATTTTACATCATACGTATTCTTGAATTTTTGTATGCAGCCTATTAACATCATGTGTGAGACTAAAGAAAACCATATAGATATATATGTGTTTGGGAAAAAAATGTGCATGAGCCATGACTCTAATGGGATGTGATTATTGTTGAAAACTTTCCAGAATTTATACATACAAATGAGTGTTTTTCCATTTAAGTGAACCACTCAGAAGATTTTATGTTTAGTTTAATGATGCTGCCATTGCACAAAATACTTTTGTAGCTATTCTCTTGGCATAGCAAATTGGATTCCGATTAGAGTATTATAATCACTGAATCTTATAACTGGACAAGATCTCAGAGTTTCCAGAAATGGGTCTATATCACAATCACCTGGGGAGTCTACAAAAATACAATTCAAGGGCCTAGACACAGATTTTTAGTCAGTACATTTAGGGTGGAACAAAGTGATCTTATTTTGAATAAGCAGCCTTAGTGACTATGCAGCTACTCCTTGGTCCTTGTCTGGCAACCCTGCCTTAGAGATTATCAGGCCAACTTCCTATCCAGTGTGTGAATGTTTTATATGATAACACCAAGAGGTGACCGCTCTTACTCTACCTGAGCCTTTCTACAAACTACAGTGTCTTAAGGTCCAGGCAGGAGGCAGGAATGGCAGGTGAATACTGGTAGCAAAGAAACCAATCAGTAGGATATCACAAGATGGCATTCCAGGCACGATAAGGGCGAAAACTAAGTCATAGTACTGGAGAAAATAATCTACTGTAAAGACATTTTGGAACTAGGATCAAAGGAAATTATGAGACAGTGAGACAGAAGAGTAAAAGAGGCTTCTAACCAAGTTGATGGCAATACTATTAAGAAGAGGGATGTAGGAAGGGTCATGTTTTATGGCAATAGTATTTCGTTCCAGTTTGGATGTGTTGTGTCTGAAGTATTTGTGACATAGTTAGATATCTCAGCGGCAGGTGGAAACAGAAGCTTAGGTGTTGTCAGGGCAGAGGTTATAGTTTTTGGAATCATCTGCTTATAGCTGATAATTAAAGACCTAATTAAAGACCTGGAAATATATGCAGCTGGATAGGAAATGCATAGATGTACATGAGAACAGAGCCTGGAAGTCTGAGGTAGCACCAACTTTAAGGGGTGGCAGTGGAAAAGGATATGTTAGGGATCAGCTAGAAGGAAGTATATCAGATGCCAAAGGAAACTGGTTAATTGGATAGCCCGCAATAGTCTCCTATAATAATATCACTTCCATTTTCCTCTTTTTTTCTTTTTGTTTTTTTAATCCTTACCTAAACAGCTTCTGCAAAACTTCAGATTCGCGGATATCTTTTCTGGTAGTATATAGGTGTATAGGTCTCCTTCCACCCCTGTTACTCTTAGATCAATTTCTTTTGAGCAGGGGTGGTATCCTTCCAGTGCTGTATTCCTACTGTCATAGAATCTGTTCTACCAAAATCCAGAGTCCTCAGGTAATACTAACATTATGATATAAATTCAAATTCCCATTGATTACGACCCTTACTATCTGCATTGGTTTATAAATGTCTGAGTACCTTATTCTTCCTAAATTATTTCTTCAGTTTCTTCTGAGAATTACTGGGCATTTTCTCCTTTAATGGTTTTCTTTTTATGTCTGTATCATTCACACTTCAGCGGTGAATTACTGGAAGGGTATGTAGAAGTTAATAAAGAATCTACAGTTATGTATATTTTAATAGGTTTAATCAATTTAGCATATGTTATTTTAAAGAATCTTGATCATGTCAGTGAAACTCCCTCCTAAGAAATATATTAGAATTTTTTTAGTCTTTAGAAGATGCAGAACATTACATTCCTTACTAGAAACACAGATGAGCCATGGGTTAGAAAAATCATGCCATGTTTTCAGATACTATCTATTTAAATAGCTGTTCACTTCTTACTTTCACTTCCTTTCATGCTTGATGCATAATTCTATGATTCTCTGGTATAATTCTTCTTTTCATGGTTTAAATTGACATACACAGAAGATACAACCACTTTGTTTTATTTTGAATGAGAACAAACTGCCAAAACTGTATTATCCCCATTCGTTCAATGACTCCACAAATGAGCTTCCTATAGATTGGAAGGGAGAATAGATGGTCCACTGATATCTTAGATGTGATGTGACAGCTCAGGAATAGCTGGTAGTCATGCTTAGTGTATGGGTATTAGACTTA